CTTCCTGTCTGTCTTGATTTATATCCCACTATCTCTTAATACTCCTCTAGGAAGAGGGGACTTTACTTGATTCCCAGGCTCACCAGCTTCCAAATCTCTCTGGATTCCCCACAAACAAAATGCACACGAACTGTGCTCTTTAAAGACATAGCCCTTCACACACCATTTCATGTACTCTGAAACACACCTGATGCTCAAGTGCAGCCCAAGACACAAGACACATAAGCATGCTTCAGAAGACACAGAAGTCACAAAGACCACATCACCTCCAAATGCAGCCTTACTTGCTTCGTTCTCACATGTTCTTCCAAGGTTCAAGTCCTTAATATTGATTATTCTTAGAGGTACTGTGCCATTTTCAGAGTCCTGGCAGATTCATTTGCCTCACTGCCTGTGTAATTTTTCACGTATTTATTTACTTATTAATGTATTTATTCTCCACCTTGTTCCAAAATGGATATGAGGTGGCTTACACGAATACACAAAATATGATAGCATAAATTGAAAGTAGATAAGAAATTAAAAGGAACAAAAAAGATAGGAACGTAAAACGGAGCTTGGAAAAACGCTAATACAAAGTGCATACATACCATAGAGTCCCTGATAAGTGCTATGTGTGGGCCACACATTTGGCTCCAAGCTTTCTCATAGCCAACAAAAGAGAAACCTGATCAGTATCACACTTCATAGGTTATATAAAATAAAAGGAAAACACTTGTTCAGGATGTCCTTTTTCTGATCTAATTCTGAAAACTAATTTGCTCTAATACCAATATTCAGCTCCTGGAATAGTCTCCAACAAAAATCGTTGATCTTCTACATCCACTACTTCTTATTTTTTTTCTACCTGTCTCTTGAAGTTCTATTTGTTCAATGAAATGTAGCTGTTAAAGAGACTTCTTAAAACAAATAAGCAAAAATTTCTGCTGTCACCAAAGCAAGTATTTTCATTTAACTAAAGAAGTAGACATTGTGACATTATTTATATCAAAAATTTGGAAAGGCCCCCAAATATCCAATAAAAAGAAATAGTTAAATAAACCATGATGCCACTGTTGCCACTGTATGATGAAATATTATATACCATCAACAAAATATTTATAAAAACTTTTTTAAAAATATTAAAAAATGACAAAAACGTAAAGTGAAAAAGCAAGATATAAAACTGTATATATTATGATCTTAACTATGTAAAAATATGCCTTTATACAGCCATAAAAAACTCTGAAAAGAAATCCACTGAAATGTTAACATTGTTTCTGAGATTTGTAAATATAGGCAATTTTCATTTTTTTCTATGTGCTTGTCTTTATTTTGCAAAGTTTTTGATACTGATGAAAAATACCTCTATGATGTGAAGAAGAAGAACTAGGAGTAAAAATACCAACCCAGCCAGTTATCATTGTCCTGTTGAATTATGGGAAATTTCAGTTTTTCTATTTTCTATAATTGATATATAAATTCTAGTGAGGAAAAAAGTTACTGAAAGAAAGAAAGAAGAATTCTAAAATCTAGTTTTTGGTTGTTTGTTTCTAGGGTCCAGAGTGATGTAAATCTAATAACATCTCAATTATTAAGCACTTAATAATTATAAAATTTATTTTATTTAAATTTAAAATATTAAATTTATTTTAAAAGCACCCTGATATTTAGAATTATATATGTTTATGAGGAAAATCTTGTGATATAGGCTAGATATTACTTGCCTCATTTAATAGGTGATGAAACTGAGGCTCAGAGAAACTAAGTGACTACCCCAAAGTCACAATAATCAGTGGCAGAGGTAGATTTGTACCCAGGCCTCCAGAATCTAAGTCCAGTGCTCTTTCCATTCATTCAAGACTGACAGTGGTGTAACTCAAGCAGTCACTGAGAGGCAGAAACATGTAAACAGTAACCCCTCCCTACCTATGAAGGTCCTATTATCGAATAGGAGACCCACAAGGTAGGAGAGTTCAGCTGATGAAATTATTTTTTTAGGAGGTAATAAAAAGAGCAAGGGAAGTGAGGCTACATATAAACTTTGAAAGCCCTCATAAATACTTCTTTGCATAGTAAAACAAAAACAATAACAACAGCATATTACATAAAAATAATAATGAAAGTTTACATAGCTTAAATTAGTAAAAATGACAGGCTCTACATAGTTTCCATTTTGATCCTAAGATGATTTCCAGAGATGATGAAGATGTACCACTCATTAGCAGTGAGAGCGAAGCAATGAACAGAGGTGGGCTGTTACGGAAATCATGGCTTTCCATACACTCAGAGTCATCTAAGTCTAATCCTGAAATTTTAACAACTTGCTTATGACTTAACCCCTATCAAGCAAGTGATTTTAAGTGGTACAACTTAATGACTTTAGTTCTTCTGAAGATGACTTCTGTCTTCTCAAGGCTTTTCTGAAGATACTTTAGCACTTTGGTATAGAGTTCAAATTAAATTATTGAAGCTTTTCCTGAAGGCAGATTATCAGCTGTTCAGCAATGGTATTTAAATGGCATTACTTGATAACTTATGCTCTTCTGAATTTGCTTTCTTCCCAATACGGTATTGTCAAAAGACTCTTAGAACCTCTTTAAATAGTTCAATTAAATCATTTGAACATACCATGGAGGCAGCTTATCAGCTATTCAGAAATGGTATTAAATGGCACTATTTGATGATTTAAATCCTGCTGAAAGATGGTTTCTGTCTAATGCAATATTTTTGGAAGGCATCACAGCACCTCTTTATAGGTAAAGTCTAACATGTAAAGGTATCAGTTTTCACTACTTTCTTGGGGAGGTTTTAATCTTGCCCTAAAATATTTGTTCCTGTTGCTCCAGTTCCATAGATCCTAAGTATCTTCATCATCACTTCTGATAATCATCCCTGGGGTACTGGAAGTTTCCTGAAAGTCATCTTCTAGCAGCATCACATCACTTTAGTATCAAGAGGTTCGGATTCCACTTCAGCCAATGACTGTTCCTATGCCAAATGTTCATCTGCACCCATAGGTCCTTCTTGGTCCAAAGATTTTTTTTCTGCCTCCAGAAAGGATTGCTGAAAGATATTTCACCATATCTAGCCAAATTTTCTCTCAGCGCATTAACGACAGGCCCTGTTAAATTATCTAATACCTCTTTTATTAAGAGTATAGTATTAATGGTGGTTTAGGAATGCCACACAGAAAGTTTCCTTCAGAAAGAGGAAACTTTGTGAGATTCTGAATGACTGTTTGAAACACTGATCTGAGGACTTGAGTATGTGAGACATGAGATTAGTTATAAAGACACACTTAACATTAAGATGCACATTGGCAAGTACATCTGAGATGCCGAAAGGACTGTGGAAAATCGGCAGGATTTTGAATTCAAGATTTTTTTTTAAAAATAGTCTCGAACTTCCACAAGAAAATACTTTTCAAGCAATTCCTTATGGAGAAGGGTCATCCAAGCTTTTCTATTTGCATGCAAGTACACTGGAAACTTGGCTGAGTTTTTTCCTCTGGAAAGATTTGGTAAGAGTTTTCTGTAGACTAGTAATTGTTTCACTATGAGGTCACCTGAAGTAGTGGCACAAAACACAAATGTAAGCCTCCCTATTTCTGCTGACCTCATGCCAGCATTGATTGGCTCCTACTCTTCAAAAGGGAAAGTGAGATTGTTCAATGGCTTCCAAAGCATGGTAGTCTCAACAGCACCACAGATTTGCACTGGTACATAATTCTCTTCCTCAATCACTTTATTGTGATGGATACAACACAGAAGCTGCAGGCTCTATTAGTTCTTTCTTTGGCACCACTGCCACATAAAACTTGGTCTCCAGATCATGGCATATCAAAAATTTCTCAAACTATCCCTTGTTCCTCACAAAAATTTCTGGACCCACTTCAGTGTCTGAAAACATGTCTTCAAAAATTCCTCTTGCATGGTCACAGATCCCTTACATGGAAAGTGTGTCCTTATTATTTTGCTTGTCTTTAATCCAGATATTTAACATCATTTTCATCTTTCCCATCCTTACGTCACAAGGGATAAAGCATCTCTTAAGTGATACAGGTTTTAAGAGACAATACTGACCTTAATAAGAGTTTCAGCTTTCCTTATGGTACTAATTGAGGATTCATTAACACCATGAAAGCAACCTATATAAAACTATTTGGTTTACCTTGAAGAAGCAATTCAGGAATGTCTCTTTTCTCTTCTAAAGATATCACCCTTTTTGCTCTTTTGGTAACTTTTTGTGGTAACAGTGTCCCTGTACTTCATTCACTCTCTTCTGCCTCAAAAGTCACATTTATAAAAGCCATATTTAAACTTTATGCTAAGTAACCCAACCTGGAAATTACTTACTAGAAATTTTAAATCTCCCAGTGTTACAAAGTGTAAGCATATGATATTTAAGCACCAAATAGTGTTATGAACAACACAAGGATAAATGAAAATATACCATTGTGATATCCAGTACAAATAAGGCTGACTGTGTAGGGGACAACTGGCAGAAGATGAGAGGAAAACAAATGACTCAGAAATTTCTTCCCACACTGTGATATAGTCAGAGAGACAGTAATGTGGCAACTTGGACTGACTCCCACATACTCAGTTCAAAATTTTCACAGCTGTCAAAAAGGTATACAGAAGTAAATCCACCTATAGTTCAATTTCCAATAAGGAGAGCTTGCAGTTTGGAAAGGATTACTGTAAATTCTCCTCTAAATTATCAGAAAGAAAGTCACTGTTTATATATTCAAGACAGTACTATTGCTATGATTTACCTTGAATTAACACTATGAATTCAATTTTATGTAAAAGGTAAACATAACAAAAGTATATTTTCTGTAAACCACAGACGTCAATCAAACATGAACTTCTGACAAAATGCAACCTCTAAAGAAGTAGACATAAAGGTTAGGCAGGCCCCAAACAGTCAATGCCAAGAAATGACTACCCAAGAAAGAAAGTGACAATGAGAGAATAAACTAGCCCCTTTTGAATGCCCAGCCACTGATACTTTACTTTTATCCCCTCCTCCTGGGAAGATAGAGCGAAGCCTGGCTTTCTTATTCTTCTCTTCAGGGGCCATGGGAAGTGGTTTGGAGCTGTGGTTGAGTGTTGAAGAATCCCGGTTGTTACTATTCATCCTCAGTGGGGGAGCTGGGGGTTTCTCTTCATTATCCAGACTGTCAGACATTTTCAGTTACAACTAATTGCACAGCTCCTAAAGGAGGAGGAGAAAACAGGAGTTAAGAAAGAACTGGTCTAAAAAAAAGCAATCTAGTAAATATGGGGATTTTAACATCTTAGAAACATAAACTTTTTTTTTTGTTTCAGGTTTTTTAGTAACCGTTTGAGGGGTTTCTTTTCAAGAGGGAAAGGTACTGCCTCCCTAAAGATTAGCAGTGCAATTTCCAAAAGAGAAAAGTGAAGGCAATGATTAATGGCTTTTCAATACGCACACACAAACACATAGGTCTCTTCCTTTCCTCATGATGAAGCTCTATTTTCTGCTGTTCACTCAGTCTTTTAATGAACAATTTACAACCTGATTTTTTAAAAAATTCTATCCAGAGGGGATGGGGAAGAAGGACAATGGTGGAAAGAAGGGGAAGGGACTAGACAAAGAACATGTATGCATGACCCATGGACATTGACAACAGTGTGGGAATTGACTGTGGGAGCGAGGTGGGGGGTGGAATGGGAAGAGAAGGGAAAAGGGGGAAAAATTGAGACAACTGTAATAGAATAAACATAATTTTTAAAAAATTACATCCTGATGATTGCCATGGTAGTGTAGCATAACATCCTCAGAATCCAGAATTGACACAGGTTTGCCTGTTGATTTTTAATGGCCCACAAGAACGATTTTGCCCTGGCTGGTGTGGCTCACTGGATTGTGTTCTGGCCTGCAAACCAAAAGGTTGCCAGTTAGATTCCTGGTCAGGGTACATGTCTGAATTGTGGGCCAGACCTCAGGTTGGGGGCATTCAAGAGGCAACCAATCAATGTTTCTCTCACATATAGATGTTTCTCTCTCTCCCTCCTTTCCCCCCTCTCTAAAAATAAGTAAAATCTTTAAAAAAACATACATGATGTGAATATTATTTTTTTAAAGAATGATTTGTTGGCTTCTTTGACATTGAGATGTCTTTGGTGTCTGACTCTTACCTGGTGTGTACCTGATTTACACTCTACGGTTTTATGAAAAAATAACTGAGAAGCAATCTAGTAGACCTGGCAGTTTCAGCAGAATTGGGATGGATAGATAGAAAACACAATTCCCCACTTCAAGTAGCACATAGAAGATAAAGCTGAGTCAAATGTCACCATGAGCCAAGAGGAGCTCCAAGTAGAGGACCATTTCCTGAGGAGACACTAAAAGCTTACTGCTTGTCATATTTTATGTCCTGGAACAGGGAACAAAGAAGTTGACAGGGGTCACATGGTCGTAAGAACCGGTCTGGGTTTTAGCAACTTGTTTGCTCTTAATTTCATTATTCTTTTGCATAATGTGCTTAGGGCTGAATGAATATATTTGGATTTCATCCCACTGAGAGGGTAAAGTGGTATGGAAAAGCATGGATTCCCCATGGAAATGTTTCTGTTTCCAGTTGTTTTCCTATTCAAATTCAAGTCTTTCATTATGGGCCTGAAACTTGCCATGGCTAGCCAGGTGTTAAAAGCATCTTCCAAGTGAATCTCCAGTTTGAATAAAAGAAAAATCAAATCCCATTGCAATAAAATCTCTGTAAATTCATCAAGTATTAACCGGCACTGATTTAGAAGCATAAGAACTCTCCAAGCACAACTTAGTGCATCACTTCATTCCAACATTTACTATAAACAAACCTAAGTACTACCACAATAATAACAAAAGCAGGATCTTATTACCTGTAATAATGAGAAATAATCCATCATAATTATTTTTAACCCTTCAGTTGTTACAATGTTTATTATTTTCATTAATGAACTCTAATTAGGTTACATTATGCAATGTTGAAAAATTTTTAAATTTTACAATGTTCTAAGTTTTCTCAAATATACAATCTGTGAATATTCAAGAATAAGTATCAATTGATAGTTTCTCCACCTGCACAGTTGATTGCCAACTAACAATGATTGGTTTGATCTTGATTTGCACAAGAAATCTCTTTTCCTTTCTTACATGTCATACTTTGTATTATCTTAATGAATTACAATCAAGTCTTTTTCAGTAATCATGATAGTGAAAATACTCAGTATTAAATATTTTGTCATGAATGGCAAAAACTCGACAAGTCTCACGTTGTGCTATACAGGTGAAGCTACAGTACAAGGCAAAATAAAAAGTAACTGCAATGTCAAGGATAAAGCCTACTCATGGGTATTACTGGTACTAGTACATATTTTAACTAGAATATAAAACTAGTGCTAATGGGCCTACATTCCTTTTTGAATTTGATTTTGATTTAACTTCACTGTTTCTCTAAAATAAAAGTGAGATTAAGACTGACTTAATCAGTGACACTATTCTGTTTTGGACAGGTTCATGGTTTTAATTTAACCACTGAGAATACTTTGCCACCAGAAACAAAACACTATTTTTTCTTTGTTTTACTTTTCTGGGTTCACAAATGATGTCTGAATATAAGGTGATTATTTAACAAACCTTGGTTATATTTATTTATTATATAAGCTATAAACTCTAGCTTATATAATAATGAAATATGGTAAACAATAATGAAAATTTAAAGTTACTGTAAAAAAACCGAGGATTTAAAAAGAAGAGAGGTTTCTGAAAAATATGTCTCACAGAGAGAGAGAGGAGCCACTATATTTGCATGATACATATTTTCTGAGGACTTATTACTTAACTTGAGATAACAGAAGTCAGAGAAACATACATGGCCTCTAATAATGGTATACAGAGCTGGTATTGCATAATGAGGCAAGTAAGAGTCTGGGCCTGTCAGGGTTCTAGGGCACCTATGTAATTTAAAATATGAGGCTCCTTTGTTCTTGATAAATGGGTGTGTCTAATGAAGTGGCCTTTTTTGTTCCTCATTAAGGGCTCTGGTCAGAGACTCAAAAGGTAGGTATCCTGTTCATTTTCAGGATACTTGATTATCCTGACCTTATTTGATTATTTGACCAGGTATATTTTAAGAGGGAAAAAAAGGCTACTTGTAATATAAAACTCAAACTACATTCTCCTATGTAAAACTAGAAATCTCTGACCAAAATGTCAACCCCACACACTTGCTGAGGTCCAAATCACAGGCATTCTCAAAGGACCTAGCTTGTGTTCTTTTCAGTTTATATTAAATTTCAATTAAGTATTTTCATATCTTGTGCTAAAGTTGTACATTCAGCAAAATTTCTTTCAAACTTACATTCTCGTATGTGTTGTAAACAGAGGGATTAAGCATGAAGCTTTCTATATAGTCATGGATTCAATTTTAATTTCAAATCCTTATTGACATATCCTACTTGGTTTAAAATAGCACCCCCTATAGATTAGTTGCATACAAATTTGTAATGTATTTTCACCAAGATATTTTCAATTTCAGAATAACGTCTTGTCACTTTATATTACACATTGTAGTATATCATTAACATCTTTGATTTGTGAGCAAGATGCCTTGATTTTTTTTATCTTGTTGCCCATTGGGTATCTGCACATGTTTTTAATGTAGTTTGTATTTGTTTTTATTTTTAAATCACTTTTTTGTTTTTCAATTACAATTGACATACATTATTATATTGGTTTCAGGTGTATACTCCAGTGATTAGACATTGCATACTTACTAAGTGATCATCCCAATAAATCTCGCACCCATCTGACACCACACAGTTATTAGAATGTTAATGACTGTATTAACCTATTCTGTATTTTACATCCTCATGTATTTTACATCCTCATGACTATTCTGTAAACAAATTTGTACTTTTTAATCCCTTCATCTTTTTCACCCAGCCCCCCAACCCCTTTCTAACCTTCAAAATGTCCTCTGTATCTATTAGTCTGTTTCTGTTCTGCTTGTTTTGCTTTTTATTTTTCATTTTTTTATTGTTCAAATACATTTGTCTCCATTTTCCCACCACCACTTTCCCCTGGCCCCTCCCCCTGCTCCCTCCCTCAGTCCTTTCCCACTTTGGCTTTGTCCATGGGTCCTTATACATGTTCCTTGACTTGACCCTTCCCTTCCTTTTCCCTGCCCCACCTCCCTCTTTCTCGCAATTCTGTTGGTTTCTTTTTTCTTTCAATGTTGCTGGTTATATTTTCCTTGCTTTTTTGTTTTATTGATTAGGTTCCACTTATAGGTGAAATCATATGGTATTTAGATTCAATTGTTGATAGATATGCACTTATTGACACTTTATTGTTCATATTTTTGGTCTTATTTTCCTTCTTCTTAAAAAAGACCCTTTAACATTTCATATAATACTGGTTTGATGGTAGTGAACTCTTATAGTTTTTTGTTTGTTTTGTTTGTTTGTTTTTTTGTTTTTTACCTGGGATGCTTTTTATCTGTCTTCTGATTCTAAAAGTTAACTTTGCTTGGTAGGGTAATTTTGGTTGTAAGTCCTTGCTTTTCATCACTTTAAAAAATTTCATGGCAATCCCTTCTGGCATGCAAAGTTTCTCTTGAGAATTCAGCTGACAGTCTTATGGGAGTTCCCTTGTAGGTAATTAACTGCTTTTCCCTTGCTGCTTTTAAGATTGTCTTTAATATTTTGAATTTTAATTATGATGTGTCTTGGTGTGGGCCTTTGGGTTCATGTTGTTTGGGACTCTCAGTACTTCCTGGACTTGTATGTTTATTTCCTTCACCAAGTTAGGGAATTCTGTCATTTTTGAAAAAACAGTTTTCCAATTTTTTTTCTCTTTCTCTTCTCCTTCTTGGACCCCCATGATGTGAATGTTGCTACACTTGAAGTTGTCCCAGAGACTCCTTACACTTTTCTCATTTTTTTAATTCTTTTTTTTTTTCTTTTTTGATGTTCTGATTGGGTGTTTTTTGCTTCCCTATTTTCCAAATCACTGATTTAACTCTTGGCTTCTTCTACTCTACTGTTGATTCCCTGTAAATTATTCTTCATTTCAGTTAATGTATTCTTCATTTCTGACTAGTTCTTTTGTATGCTGTTGAAGTTCTCACGAAGTTCATTGAGCATCCTTACAACAAGGGTTTAGAATTCTGCATCTAGTAG